TCTGCTGTAAATCTGTAAAACAGGGTACTTTGGGATTCTGTGCCGGCTTCACCCTTACAGTTAGAAACCTATGAGATGTTTCAGGAAACAGGAAGTGCGTCCGTACCTTTTTGGGACAGAGTTTGGAGGCAAACACGGTGCGTATGGTGGTGAGCAGCACCGCGTGGAGCTCCTGGCTCAGGCCGAGGAAGTGGCTGAAGGAGAGGACGACCACCTCTTTGGGATGAGCGTCCAGCCACTCTCGGATCTCCGTCAGCACTGTCTGTCAGAGACACAGGCGAGCTCAACCCTCACACAGCAAAATGAACTTTATCCCGCCCACGTGCACAGCTGATTTGACGTGTTATTGCTGCCATTTTGTTCCTAATGATGTAGTCCTGCTGTTTTCTGTTCCTGCTTTAAAACACACGTGTGGGATTGCTCATGTCAAACATAGTCAAAGTTTCTAAAAATGAGCTCCCTGAACACTCAGATTAACATAGGGATACTCTTACTCTGTGTGTGTGTGTGTGTGTGTGTGTGTGTGCTCATTTCCAAAGACGGTCTGTCTTTTATGGAAGTTTGACTTTTATGGAGAGAATATCACAGAATATCAACCAAAGACGCAGAACAAACCTGAAAGGTATAAACTGGTTTTCATGTCATTCAGTGAACGCGTATTAAAGGAAAACGCGACTCAGCACTTTCTGTCAAGCTTGTGATTCACATGTTCACTGCAAACTTCATGCTACTTGCGGTGTCATTTGTGACTGTCGTTAACAAGCTCCTCCCACCACCTTTCTCAGGATCATCCTCACTCCAGACTGAGGGGGGCTGACGGTAATTTTAGATTTCTGAATAATCGCACTGACAGCTTCACCTTCTCTCCTGTTGCTCCGTCACCCTGGTGCAGGTTTGTAGTCCTGCCTCTGACATCCGGTGACAGCTCTTTGGTCTTGCAGTCTGTGGACAGCGGTGCTTTATTCGCACACCGAGCTAAGATCAGGAGTATCTGACTGGGTGATTGTGCTACGTGGGCCACACAGCCATTCTGTGGGCATCTGTAGGGGATCAAATACTTATTTCAAACTGAGTTTCTGGATTTTTGGTTGATATTCTGTTGCTCTCTATTGAAACATAACTTTCTCTGTAAGCCGTGAAGAAGAAAGCTAAAAGCCAGACTGGATAACCATGAAGCCCACCGAATTCCAAATCTAAACCTGTCATGGATTTAGCATCTGTTTGCATATGTGTGACCGGGCTGTGAGTCACCTCCACAGTGAGCGTGGTGTAGACGCCATGGTAGAAGTACAGGTGTGTGGAGCTGTCGTTGGGCCTGTGTGCGATCCTCAGGTCGCAGTACCTCACCCCACAGTCCAGCTGATGCTTTATACAACACTCCTGAAACATGGAGGACACACAACTCATCACGGTAGGTCCGGCTTTATACACAAGAAGGACTAACACAGGTACAGTTACAGCCTGTCATCACATTGTGCTCTTCCTCCCCACTGTCAGCCGCTGGTAGAGGATCGTGGGATGGCTGGGTTTCTCTCTGATACTGTACAGTGTAATCCGCCTGAGGCGGCAGCTATTTCAGAACAGTGCTGTAAAAGTATTACCTGGGTTTTTGCCCACTTGTACACAAATGGGCGAATGAGGGGCTTCATGAATTTGTCGAGCTTCTGCAGCATGTCAGGCTGCATGAGGTCGATGGGAGACCTGTCGTCCATATCCAGGCAGTAGGTTATTGCATTATGGCTGCCTGAAAGGGACAAAGATAATCCTGAATGTTCCACTTTGCCCTGACAGACTTCCTGCACATATAAAACTGTGGATCTGGAGCTTCTCTAACCCCCAAACTGAGCCCAAAACCTTTAAAGTCACACAATAAATACTGTTTTTGGCATGTGTGTGTAAAAAAAGGTGCTTTATCAATGTCTTCATTTATTAATCAACCATTTTTAGCAGCTTAAATGACCGAGTCAGCACATGTATGATCCTTGTTAAAGCCGCTGTTCCTGTTTCTCTGACAGATATTTCAAATGTTCAATAAAACCAGGAAAATGTAACTGAGAAAATGAATTTTCATTTTACTGCTCGTGACAAATCCGAGCTCATGTGGAATTTGGCAGAAACTACGTGTCATAAAATTTGGGATGGAGCAACAAAAGCGTGTGAAAGTCAGCGGTGCTAAAGAGACGATCAAAAGTGTGCTGGCAGCAGGTCGGTCACGTGATCAGGTAGAAAAAGATCATCTCAGAGAGGCGGAGCTTCTCAGAGGTTCACAACCTGTTTCAGAATCGCAGTCCTCGCTGAGAACATCTCATCATCTACACAACATGCCATCATCAGCACACTCAGAGGATCTGGGGGAATCTCTGTGCGCAGGCTGATGACTGTAACCTTCAGCAGAAACACTGCTCTGTGATAAATCTGTGCACGGCTCAGGAACACTTCCAGAAACCAGTGTCTGCAAGCAGCTCGGCGTGCCGTCCACACATGCAGTTACAGCTCCGTCACACCGACACAAAGCCACGTGTGACCATGATGGAGAAACGGCACTGCCTCCTCTTTAAAATGGACCAAGGCAAAGAGGAAACTGATCTCATGTCGTGTCTTAGTCTTGAAAAGATCCACTGCTCCATCCAGAATCAAATCTGGGGTCTTTTTCAGACAAACCTCTCTAACCTTCAATTTAAGGATGTTCCTGCTGACTAACTGATTTGCTTATTCCATAGAGGTCCGATGTGTGTCTGTGTTAATGGGAATGTGAAGCTCAGTGGAGTGCAGCTAACTTCTGCGTGGTTTGTAAGAAAAGGGTTTGTTAGTATCAATCGCCCCTCCTGGGTTGTGTTTTTCTGTTTATTTGTTTGTTTGTTTTCTTTTTTCTTTACCTATGTGCTAACATAAAACGTTCTGTTTTGTATTCAATGTAACCTGTTTTTGTGTTTCACTTTTCTTTTCTTTTTTTCGTAAACTGTATCCACAATCACTCACTGATTCAAAACAGTTTTTTCTGTTCTACAGTGAAGAAAATGCGCCTTTCTTTATGTTTTACTCAGCGTCTGACTTTGTTGGAGCTTTTCTGGGTTTGTACTTGTGGGTCAAGAAATAAAGCCACTCACTAAGACGACAATAAGACATGCTGCATAACAAACAGAAATGCAAACACACAAATCTGCATTTGGCTTTTCTTGGTCTCCTTGCAGCACATTTCCTTTATTGCTCCAATCTTTCCTTTCTTACTGAGTCTGCTGTTTGATCTCAGATTTCTGTCATTGGTTATTTTAATTACCACTTAAAATTGTAGTTCAATAGGAAACAGTTCAATCAGGCAGAAAACATGAAGAGGCTGATAAATGAATGAACAGGTGAATCTCTGACTGTCAGAGCAGCAGGTGAACTGTGTGTGTGTGAAATGTGGACACAATGTGTTCATCACGTCCTCACAGTCAGAGAATCATCAATAAACCAGAGATAATAAGACAGAACAAACTGATTCAGGTCCCATCACACCATCAGCATCATCTGCCCCCAACACCAGGCCTACCTGGGATGGCCAGGTGGAACAGCGGGATGTCCCACAGCGCGCATGGCAGGCGAGACATCCAACTCTCCATGGGCAGCTCCATCAGGCTGGGCTCACTCAGCCCGGACATCACTGCTGCTGACACACACACACACACACACACACACACACAAACACAGGTTCACTGATTACATTGTGTTATTAATGGTTAATAAAGTGAAAGTGAGCAGGTGCGTGCACTGCGCTGTTTCACAGCAGTAAACTTGCGCGTGCCTGTGTGTTTATGTGTGTGTGCTGCAGTCAGCCCTCCTCACCTCATCTGATCGTCACTCTGTCTCAGATCCGCTTACGCGAGCACAGCCCGCTGACAAAGGCCACGAGCCGCCGGTCTGAGAGCGCGTGCACGAGTCATGACCGGAGCGGCACATTAAGCATGTGTGACGGACACGCGGAGGAAGCTGGGATCCTCCGCAGCAGATCTCTGTCTGTTACCGGTGAGCCGTGACCCGCCGCGCGCTTCCGGTCGCCGCTGCGAGAGCGCGGCTCCGCTCTTAAAGAGACCGCAGGACCGCGAGGCTGCTGCAGCCCCGCGCGCACACGCGGCTCACCTCCAAAATGCACGTGAAGGTAAAACATCTGGAGAGACGTCACGACGTTTGATTAGCTGATGAAACGCCTGTACATAAAAGATGGACATTCTCTCCCATTTCCAGCAGGGGGCGACTCGTCTGGTCTCTGGTCTTCCTGTGTTTATTGTGGGACTGTACAGGTGCCGGACATTCCAGTGAGCACACTGAGAGTAGACGTCTGACCCAAGAGCAGCCAATAAAGTTAAAATGACAGTCAGTCACAGCAGGACTCACAACCTCAGAAGGATCTCCATCACAGTTCCATCTAGTGGAGGGAGAGGGTCTCTGTAAATATGCGCAGTTACTCTCACTGGACACTTCACTAGGTACACCTCACTAGCACCAGATTGACGCTTCGGAGCTGATCATTGTGACATCATCGCACAGCTGACGACCACCCCGAACCAGGCAGGATGGATCCAGACGTGGTCAATGGGAAAATCCCAGCAGATCCTAAAACAATGCTCAGTTTGAAGTTAAGCGGCTCATCATCAAGAGCACTGAGCCGCTGCTGTGATTGGCTGATTAAATATATGAGTTAAAATGGAAACAATTAAAATGAAGGCAGTGCCAATAAAACACAAATGTGTGACTGCTGTGGGACAGAGGTGACTGGGTGGTGTGAACTCTTTCCCTGCTCTATCATACGCACCATCTTCATACCCACCTCTGACCCAACCACCCTACAATCACTCTGATTGTGTTTGACACTATTGTTTATAAAAGATTGTGTTGTATATAAGACTTAAGTGTCACACTGAGGGGTGTGGGAGAACTGCAATTTCAAATTCCTGTGTATGATCTGTACACGTGGTTTTTGACAATAACACTAACTTTGAAGTATGAAAAACATCTCAATGTTTTGTGTCAACGGTTTTATTTAAACTACACACGCTAAGTGCATCACAGGTACATTTCACAGGCCCGGTGTCCTGAAAGCTTTGGAAAGATAAAAGAATGAAAAGTGTTTTATTATTATTGTGACTGAGTGATGTTTAAATTTATTTCATAGATGACGACACACTGCCCTCCCCTACATGAGTATCGATACCAGTACCAGCAGTATTGACCCTCTACTTACTTGGCCTTGGATTAATACCATAAGTATTGCAGTATTGTGCAGCAGTACCTGAAACCACAAACAGAAAACCTGCTTGCTGACTTTCCCTGAAAACTGATGAACATTCAATTAATTCAAGCATCAGACTTTAACATTTAGACTTTATTAAAAAATGATTTTCCAAATGAGGAACAAACATGAAAAAACATCTTTGTGAATATGTTAGTGTTGGAGCGCCGTGGGTGGGCGCACAGCTTCACCCTCACACACACACACACACACACACACACACAGGCTCAGAATGGCGAGCGATGGAGGTCAAAGTTTAACTCTGGGCTTCATGTAGTGTTTCCTGCAGCCGCTCCACCTGCCTGGAGCTGCCGAGGATTCAACCTTCTGCTCGCAGCTGAGCCGACAGGCCCGTTTACAGCCTGTGACCATGCCTGCGGTCTGTGTGGAGACACCACGCTGAGGCACGAGAGACGGTTTCTGTTAAATGAGGAAGGATCTGCGTAAAAATGAGGTAAAAATGAAGGTATAAAATAAAAGCACTGACTCAGCATCTGTAGAAAAATAGGACAAACCCGTGACGGGTTCTGTTTCTGCAGCTCAACCCAAAAAAAGAAACCGACTCGTTTCAAATATGGCGCTTGCCTCCACCTTCTGACCACCGCGTCACGCTGCTGGTGCTTTGGTCCTGGAGATTATGTCACTGTTTTGGCCATGTTTGCGGACACTCGAGCTTTAGTGGTTCGTGGGGAGCAAACAGGACACAAAAACTGAGCGACAGTGTGCACGCAGCTCAACTCAGACCGCCGACTAATATCATTACTGCAATAAACCAAAAGCAGACATCTGAAGGTCAGAACGTCGACCCAAGACCACACTCACATTCACCAGAGGTTGCATTTGAACGTTATAACTGAACCTGATCGACACTGAAGCGTTCGCAGTGAAATCGCTCTCCAAGATGGTTTAATCCTCAAAGCGAACCTCTCGGCTGCTCGTAGTGACACAAGTGGAGAGGCGGTTAGATCATGTGGCAGCAGCACAGATGTTGTCTTTTACCCTGTTTCTAAACCCAAAAGGGGTCAGTCAAGCTCTGAACACGTTTTCCTGATTTTCAGATCACAGCTGAGGTTTAAACTCCGCCCCATGACAGCAACTTTGCGTGATTCTCAGCTCCAACAGCCCTTCCACTTGAAACAAGCTGTTTACCACTGCTCCTGGTTATTGTCTTCTGATTAGCTGCCCCTCTAGCTGTTCCAAACAGCTTGTAGGTGGGGTTTCTATTCTCTCTCTGTGACTTCAGAGGGCCAACGGTATACAAAAAAAACAAAAAAAAACAAAAAACTGATAAACTGAGTGTTCAGAGCAGTTGGAGCTCAACTGACGTGATCATCGAGCAGGAAGTGCAGGTACACGACAGGAAGTAAGGAGAAGGGCACGCCCACTTTTTATTCTATTTTTTTTGGGCTGAGCAGCAAGAATTGCACCTCGTAACAAAAACTGCAGCTCGCTTTCACAATTAAAGTTTGTGATATAATAAAGGCTCATCATGATGATTGAAGACCTCAGTTCAGTGTCTGTCGCACCATGGAATGTGTTTCTATTGTTTCTAACTGTTTCTGGAAGCTAAAGCGTGTGGAGTGTTTCTGCACACAGAAGGCATTCGTGTTTTCAGAAAGGTAGACAAAGAGTTGCAGCACCTCGGTGTGAAGGCAAAAGCAAGGAGACGTGCAGCGCTGACGGGCGGGAGTCACGTGGTATTTACATGCCCGTGTGCACACAATACACTAGGGTCCCCCCCACAGCGCCTCCCGCCCTGAGCGTCCCTTCAGAAATCCTGTCCTCCTCTTCTTGGCGATCTGCTCATTAGCTGTGAAATCACTGACCGTTCTCAGGACCAACATGGGTGGAGACAAACATCGTCACATGATGGGAAGACAGCGTCGGGTGTGTATGTTTCTGCACGTGCGCTCCAAGAGATGCTGGGGCCGGAAACATGGTCGGTATGTTAGGACTTAGCGAGCAGATCGCCTTCACGGTGCATCCTTGTGCGGACCGTCAGCCCCGCAGTTTGCACAGCCGTCACCTCTGCATGGCGTGCCTGGAGCCCGGTGCCGGTTTCCCTTTCCTCGGAATGTCCGGCAGCCCAAGTGGCCGCCTGCACTGACCTTTGGCCTCTGGCTCAGAGTCGCTGAGCTCAGCGTCGGGGCAGTACCCGTCGCTGTCCTGATACGATCGCGCGCTCTTCAAGCGGTGCTCTGGTGCTGGTTTGGCCCACAGCCTTTCCTTGGCACCGCTCTTCCGGGACAGTTTGTCTGCCCGCAGGTCCTCGGTGGTCCGGACCAGGTTGATTGTGGCCTGTTTGAAGGAGCGGCCAAAGTGCTCCATGGCGGACTTGCGAAAGACACTCTTCTCGTTTGCAGTGTTGCGGTCAGCGGGCGTCTGGCATGAGCCGTCTCTCTGAGCAGCGCCCTTCTCCAGCACGCCGTTAGATTTGGCCAGGCGTGCTCGGTCTCGCTCCAGTCTGCCATTGCTGTTGGAAGGCTGTCCGTGAAGCGCGCCATGCAGCGTCAGAGGTTTCCCGCTTGGTTTAACGTGCTGCGGCGCACCGCTGGTGGAAGACGTTCGACCGGTGGCGCGCTCATCTCTGATGCTGCGGCCGTGCAGCTGAGGCTTCCCCTGGCCCACCCCCTCACCGCCGTGCTCACCCACATTCCCGCTGTTGTCTGGGCACAGCGGTCCGTTCCCAACACCCTTTGCTTTGGGCATCTTCAGCTTCAGAGTGATCCTCGGAGGAGGCCGGGACAGCACACTCTCCAAGGGGAACGAAGCAGGAAGACCTGCAGAGAAAACACATGTTCAGTCCCTTTTTCTCTTTTCCATAATCACATCACAGACAGCTTAAGAGTCCTCACAAACTACTGTTTTATCCTTTACTTCATCATAAAAAATAAAAAAAGAATCATAAATCCATCATAAATCCTTCTGATCCCCATGGAAAACCACTCCTACCTTCGTAGAAATCCCCAACACCCACATTCAGCTGGTTTTAAATATACCATAACTTCAATAAATTTAATGACGCTTCCAAACATCACCTTCATACCCAAGTTATTGTGCATATATTAATTTACATAATTATTCAAAACTCAAACCAGATCATTTTACAGTGTGAACTTTACCCCATTTCTGATTAGTCACTGTAAAATCTGGGCTCGCCCCTCAGCAGGTAACTCAGGCTCACTTGGAGCTTCAAGTTAAGCTTTGAAAGCTGTGATCCAAATTAATTATTAATAAATAGAAAGAAATCAAAATGATCCAAATCATAAAATAAATTTATGATTCTGACGGGATGTTCTTCTTATCACATACCGAGTGTTGGTTTCCACCTGCTCATTAACAGGTAAAATACACAGAAACTTTTCATAGGGGTCAAAAATCACTAATTTCTCACTGAAAAGCTTTGACAAGTTGAAAATAATCCTATGTGGGATGATCCCTCTGAACTGAGCCGAGTCTGAGCTTTGCTTT